TCCCCCACCCCTTTTGATCCCACCCATCTATTTATGTGGGCATTAAAGTGCCTTTGGAGCGCCTGAGCCATCGGAGGGCCTTGGGACTGACAGGTCCTTGGGCAAATGATTGTCAACACTTGTAGATTTACCACAACTCTAAAATGAGATGTTGACATGCTTCTGTGGTGGGACTTAGGCACGTTGCAGTTATGTGTTTTGGTTTGGTTTTGGTTTTTGTTTGGTTTGGGTTTGGAGGTTTTTTTGTTGTGGGTTTGGTTTTTTTGTGGTGGCAGAGTTGGCTGAAGCACCTTGCTATTCATTCCCATGATTAAAAAAGGGAAGGGGTTAATTCCTAGGCTGTCTTGCTGTGCAAACCCCCAGTGTCCTGCTGCAAGCAAGCAGGTGCAGGCGTGGGAGAGAGTGGCAGGGGGGGGGGGGAGGGCGCGGAACAGAGAAGCAGGTGCAGGCGTGGGAGAGAGTGGCAGGAGGAGAGGGCATGGCCTGACTAAGCCAGCATTGCTGAGAAAAATACTCATGTAACTACCACTTGAATGAATGTAATGATAGTGTGTGTACTGTTGGCTCTGAAGAGGACAGAGAGAGAATAATGACAGTTGAATCTGCAGAAGAGTCTGTATTCAGAAGTACGAGTAGGTGCTGCAGGGTGCTTAATGGCACAGGTAGTTTTTCCAGGCAGGATGCAGCTATTTCCCTCACAACTAAGCTCTGATCCTTCAAATACTGATGCACAGACTACCTAAGCAATTGCATGGAGTCTGGCTTCGCTGTGACTGCTCCCATGTTTAGGTATGAGTGAACGCTACCAGAAACACTAGGAATGGGAAGAGATGTTATAAAGCAAGCGTGAGTTACTTTGGGCTGCAAAGGAAGTCGTGTTCTGTTAAACACTAGCATAGAAAGCACTTCTGTAATTGCTAGAAAACCATCTGGTTCTGTTTCTTACTGTATTTCTATTGCAAACAATCTGTAGTCAGCATTTAATTACGTTGCAGTGTGCTAAGTCTCTCAGCTCTTGGGACTTCTATTGTCTGTTTCTTCCAGCTACATCGAAACTGCAAGCAAAAGAGGGTGCTAGCTGAAAAGGAGCAGGAGCTGTGGAGTATGTTAACTCCAATATATTATCTCACTAGCTGATAGTCCTTGCTATCAGCAATTTTTCTGTTAATATTTGGATACAACACAGATTACTTTAAAATCTAGAGCAATCTTATCTTCCATAAGGAGTCTGTTACATGATTGTTCTTGGAAAGACACAGGTGAAACACCACGATCTCATCCCCCTAGACTTTTATAATTCCTTTCACTGTGAGATTTGTCTCATGCCGTTGTAAACAACTACCTTGGCTGAGGACTTTCATTAACAAAACTACTAATTTAATCTGAATATATTGGGGAACCTGTTTGACACCCATTATATTCCCTAGGAATAGTTCCAGTGAGAGCAGATCAGATCTCCCCCAGGTAATACTGTTAATGAGGTACTGGTGTGGGAAGTTTCACTTGCAGTAATCTTGGGCTTTAGAGTAGTTCTGCTGCAAAACTAGGACCTTAAGTGCATCTTTATATCTTCAGATGAAAATACAGAGTCCAGAGAATATTTTTTTTCTATTTATCTGCAGAAAGCAGTTTAGTGATTGAGCATGTGACGAAAAACTCCATAGGATCCTTGTCTTAACAGAATTTTACTGCTTTTTCTTGTTGGTCAGCCTCCAAGTAGAGTACATAATAACAATAAGCAAACCTATTGTGTACTTGTTTCAGACTCTTTTGGCCCAAATCAAGGTGCTATGATTACTTATATCAGGAAGCTGAAGCACTTCTGAAAAACTTCCCAGTTCAAGCTACAATTTCCTTTTATGAAGACTCAGATAGCGAAGATGATGAAGATGAACTGGAACAAGAGTCAAGAACACAATCAGATTGCTGATTGCTGGAAAGGCCAATGTGACTTCTAAGTCTTCATTTAAACTTAATATAAAAATGTATTATAGTATTTTTAAAGATAATTTATTTGTATGTAAGTTATTAATAATAAAACAGAAATGTTTTGTAATTTTACCTGAGCTTTTTCCCTTTGTTCTATTCCTGTCCCATTTTAGGCTGGAAAGGTATTAATATTTTTTTCTATCTAAGGTCCTGTATTTTGTAGACCGTAACTTCGATATCAATTTTAGGAGCAGAGAACAGATGCCTTGCTTTAAAGTGCTCTATGGGTATGTGACTTCCTCGAAGTCTGAGGACAGGAGGAAAGCTATTTCATTGTGATTTAATAGGCTCTGTGTGGAAACATATCAAGGGATCATTGGATTACGTATTCTAATGTTGTGCCTGCTGTTACAATGGTGTTTCAGACATGGGTAAGAGTATAGCTCTTTTCCAGATAGAGGAGGGTCCAAATTCTACTCTAGCTTTTGCTTTTAAAGGAGTTTGCCTTAAGTCACTCATGCGCTCTCATGTACATGAGGTGTATTGCTATAGATAAATACAGTGAAACTATAAATTTTGTTTGTAAAGTGGACATCCAGAGAAGTTGTGGAGCCTCATTCTCTGGAGGCATCCAAAACCTGCCTGGATGACGCTATCATGTACAACCTGCTATAGGTGAATCTGCTTTGGCAGGGGGTGGAAGAGATGATCTCCAGAGATCCCTTCCACCCCCTACCATTCTGTGATCAAGAAATGAGAAAAAAGTCCAGTGTGAGTTGTTTTGATAGTGAGTTTGTTTTTGATAACAGAAGCAAAGTTTGGTACCATTTGTCATGCAGGCCAAAGCTGCTAAAGGGACAGAAAGATCCAAAATTTTAATTAAAAGGCTAGTGCCCCTCTATCAGGTATGTACAGCTTGTGTACATACCTGAACCTGTCCTTGCCTGAATGCTCAGCGTGTCACCAGCATCCCTGGAGCACTGGCCCCCTTGCACTTCCCAGTGGGCCTGACAGCTCGGCAGGAAGGAGCAGGTCTCACACAGCTGCACTCACCATTTTACCTTCAGAGCATGGGCAGATGCAGCAATGCCCGTTATAATAACGTTATAAGGCCCAAGCACCGTCCCTGGCACGGGGAGACTTGGATGTAAAACCAACCTCAGTGGTTGAGGGAGACAAGAAGGTGTACACGGTACGCAGCGCCCTCTCCTCAGCACCTGCCCGGGCTGCCCGGGGCTAGCCCGCCCCAACCCCGAACCGCCTTGCAGCAGGACCCCCTAAACGCAAAATGACAACAGGGATATCTGGTCC